TATTCCTATTTTCCCGCACAATGCATTGCGGGACACACGCCGGTGCCGCACCGGCTTGAAAACGCCACCAAATGAAGCGCAAGATTTGCCGTCTCCAGCCCGTTTCCACAAGCGTAACTGACGTTTTTGACATGCGGTCTGATATCCGCATCGTGGATGCAGGAAACAACCGGCAGATTCTGGAAACTGTCATAGATACCTGTCCTGAAGTTTAATTGAATCACCACTCGTTTTAGATAAAGTACGTCACTGTAATGTCATTTTTTATGATGTATTATGTACGTAGAGCATCCAACGTTCTTACGGTGCTACAAAGCGTATTAAATAGTAAAATTGAGTTCTTCTGGTGAGTGCTTCAAAGACCACTAGAAACAAGAAGACGCCATCTGGGAGAACAAATACAACTTTTGGGGGCAGTTAGGTACTTGGGACTAGTACCCAACTTTCAACTAACCTAGAAGCCGTGTATGAAAGACCGAGTTGACCTTAACGGTATCCAGATGTCTATATGGTAAAGCACGATATATTTGCTATACATAATGGAGGTAAGACCCATAAAAACATATCCATCTTTGGCAAAAATGAAAAAATGTTTTATCGTTACAGAATTGGGCAAGGTACAAAGACGTGCCTCCCTGTCTCAACTGCAGCACTTGAAACCATGGTGGACCTTCCACCGATACAGTTTGTAATTATGGGAAGGCAAGAAAGGGCTACTCTAGGCTACAACTTCAGTTAAAGGGAATGTATGAGGATCTTGGACACAATTAAATAAGGAATCATGTGGAACCGACACACTTGACGTGAGAAACGATCATATATTTCCCAGATTTGCACTCATAAAGAACTCAGAAACGAAAACGGGAGATTGAATAGCACTTCAAAGGCACAACCTGCAAAGAGAAATTACCTGGTATACAGAAGGGAGCATGGGAAAGAATACCCACAAAAGGCTGCGGAACTGCTTTCAATCATCAGGAACCAACGCCGTGTTGTTACAGGCCTTCTAACAGGAGCAACGTCCTGAAAGAACACCGTCAAAACTGAATTAGATTTACATGTTTGGAAATATTTTGCGATTACAATACTTCCTCGCTAGTAGGCGTGGGTAGTGAAAAAAATGAAAATCGCTTTAAACTCCGTTTTTTGACGTTTCAGAGACTCCTGCTAATTTTCAGAAATATTTTTGTAGGGCTTAACCATTGGGAGTCGAGAGTTGTAGGGCTTGAGGGAAGGTATATCTCAATTGTTTGACGTCGATATATTTATACGCTTCTAATCTTGGTCATCACACGCATCTACATAGTACACATACTCCACACATAGATATCCCCCTGTAGTTGTGCTTAAGACAAAGATACGAGATAGACTTGAATCGAGGTAGCCGCTACTGCAGTGGACTAATTGTATAGACCTATTTGAATGACTTGATCTATTTAATTCTTTTGTTTTTCATGTTCCTCCTTTCTTTTGTCTAAAAGAAGCTGACTTATAAACTTCTACGAGCTGAGGATATCGCCTGGGAAGTGCAGACTCAACCTCGTTATTTTTCTTGTCCACCCTGTATACATATTTGTTGACGACTGAATTGATTAATTTTGCCTTCCAGAATTCCGACAGGTACAGCCATGCTAGTGCCTGGATTATGTTGACAGTCCATTTTCTCCTTCGAACATATTGACCTGACAGAATTTAATTTCATCAATCACTTTCGGAGAAAGCAATTTTACTAACGGCAAATTTCAGTCCTTGAATTGTAGCTGACATTTTTCATTTGCATCCACTTGACGACACCGCATAACTCATTATTTCCAGCAAGATAGTCTAGTGATCCTTAGTGAATATACAGGATGATTTGGAAATGACAATGATTTTATTAGGGCAGAAAGTGCATTTGGAAATAACCAAAAGGTTCCCATTACCATGATACAGTTTGCTGTAGAGTTTTATGCGACTGATGAGTATGATTGAGAACACAACTTAAATATTCTTTGAATAATGGAATGGAGAGATGGTATTCCTTTCCTGATATACTCCACACAATTTTGTCGAACTCCAGTGACTTTAATGTATTTTCATAATAGAGCAGTTTTGGTATTTTTTAGAATTTTACTTTCAAAAATCCAGTAGCCTCTTCTCCAAAAAGGATGATATGAGAATAACTTCTCAAGAGATACAACTGATGTAAAGTCAAATGCCTTATCCAAAAATCCACTATCCGTTTTGAAAAAGTCTTTGATTTATAAAATATTTTTTTTCCTTTTGTAGGGGTCATAATATCCCAGTTTCTACGCAACTGATGTAGTTTGAGTCTCAAAAAAGTAGGCCATTTGTTAGTTGTCCTAAATTGCTATCCAATCTGTATAACAGAGTGGCCTAATAATTATATAATTGTATAACTATTACACAGGGTGCTCCAATATTCCGTAGACGTAGAAGTTCCAAGTATTTTTATACTCAAAATAAGTCTATTGGTCATGGTTCACCTCTATGCAAAAGTGCTTCCTTTGTCCGCTAGTTCTATTCTTAAAACACAGGTCACCTCGGATTGTTTTTGAGAAAAAAAAGTTAGTTGCGAATGCTTCTTCTTCAATTACCTTTATTTCTGTGAACTACTACCAACATACTAGTCTGTTCGATAAAATAATGTTCCATACTTACGAGGCAAGCAACAATTAACAATTTACTCATATATTAATTGTTAATTTATACTTTATGAAGCTTGTCACAAAAATAATCTGACATTGACATAACATCTAACATTTGCCTTTTAAAAGGCACATTTTTTTCTCGAAGACTATGCGAGATGGCTTGGTTTTATAAATGATCAAGAAATAAAATGATCTTTCAAATATGAAAAATCAGAGCCGCTGGGAGAGTTGCTAAAGAATTCTCCTATAATTTATGTAGGGATGAATGTAGATCAGGTCAAATATTATAACGCCTAGCAAAGCATATGTGTTCCAAATTTCATTCAAATCGGAATATTGGTCCCTAAAATATCGTAAAAATGTGTTTTAAAAAGAAAACTGACGCCCTTTAATGGACAAACTCAGCACTTTTGCGTAGAGGTAAATCATGTCTAATCGACTTATTTTGAGTCTTAAAATACCTAGTACTGTCTACAGAATATTGGGACACCCTGGATAGCGTTGGCCCAGTACTTTTCGTTAGTTGTGAAAACCAAGGCCATTTAACTCCAACGTTAAACAACACCTGCAAGAGCTCCTTGGACTAGCGTCTGCTTATGGGCTATGTGGATGCAACATTAATATTGGACAGTACACTGTGTCATTCAGCTCCACAGTCCTTATTATTGGACAAAAAATTTCTCATTCAGCCTCCATCATCACCAACAGCCGAGTCGCGTCATCTTCCGCGTGTTCCGATAACCGCCTTTCATCCCCTTCTTCAACTTGAAAATATGCCGTGCAACTTTTCACCGCGCACCCTTCCGTCGTCCTTTGAAAGTGAGCCATTTATATTCCCATGTTTTCCATCAATAAAACATAATATCGCGCTAGGTATCCGCACAATATAAATTGTTATGACAGATCCCTTTCGTACTTCTCGCCTTCCGGACTGAAGACCACTTCCAATATTGAATAAATGATTTATGGTGCACGAAGAACGCTAGGAATTTTTTCGCGATACGTGCACGCTAGCTTCAGATGAGCGAAATGGACGTATGTGGGGCAGGCGAATTATATGAGGGCTGAATATTAAAGCATCTTCCACATAGAATAGCAACAGAGCTGCAGACACGTATACTTACAGTCCCATTGTACTTGCACACTCTTATAACGAAGCATTTCTTTGTTACAAGTTTTTATTCAACTTGACCTATTGATATGTTTGAAATTAGTCTTGTAACTGAATTTTGTATTAGCTGACTTTAACGGGAGGGGCAATACTTCGGTGAAACGAATATCCGCTAGATGTCAGCACAGGTTGGAAATCCTAATAAAAGCATTGTATTGAGACGGACTCTAGGATGTTGCCAGTGTTATCTAGTCCGTATCGCAGACAGAGGTTGATTATGCGTACTAACAGAGCTTTTTTGTGTTTAATGGTCGAGCTTGAAATAAGTTTGAAGGTGAGGCCCAAGGTCAAAGTCATTATTGAATGCTTTGTAAAGTATGTTGCCTGGAAAATTACAGAGCCATTTCGTTACTTTTCTTACGAGGTTTGTAAATTAAGTAAAGGGACTGATTTTTCAAATGTTTCCTATCAAAATATAATTACATTTTTATATAATATATAATACTGGACTATAACTAAGCAAAATTCTTGCAATAATGAAAGATGATAATATAAATTTATTTATGACCAAGATGCTCCGTGAACTTCAACAATGTTGTTTCAAAAACTTACTCAATTTATTCAAGAGTTTATAGAGCAGCACGAAGATAGTCGGTATCACTTGTATGCCTTAGTACCGCTGAGAAGATATTTCCGTTATGAAAACCAACATCTTTTGTAGTTATAATGTTGGAGAGAAATCGTGGAAACACAATTATCTCCGCCATTACTTCTTAGAACCGGCACGTATATTTATTAGCATTGTTCCTCGAACGTTATTAGATTTGCATGTCTTTTGTGCGGTTTCAGGCTTTGTGTGAAAAGAGCTTTGAACTAAACTGGGCCAGAGAGTTATAATACTCTACAGGAGTTTTGTTAGTTAAGCGCGTTCAATGCATCAACATTATTTTATCATATAGAACTGAAGCCTAGCTACATTTTTAAGGAGCAAAAAGAGGATAGCGTGACATCCTTTGATTGGTGCACAAGTATATTTTTTATATACAGAAGCAGTCGAGTAGGTAGAAGCCTTAATACCAGGGAGAAGACACAGATTTTGGAATTGTCTTGGGTTAGTACAACTGGGAAACGCCTCTTCAGGTAGGTTGTTCCACAATCTTGATACCCCAGGGACAAAGGAGCGGCCGTATCGACTAGTTCTGGATGTACGGAGTTCGATACAGTTAGGACGGGAGGACAAAGTCAGGGGAGTCTGTCTGGCAGGCTCATTGCGTGACGGCATCATGGAGGAGAGTTAAAACAGCGGTAGGAGAGAGCTAGATTGCTGACGGCCCGACGGTGCGAAAGGGTCCCGAGACTGTCTGTTAGAGAAGAGTCATCTATCAGTCGGACAGCCTCGAGCATAAATTAATGTAGTCGGAGTGGCAACACCCCAAACGTGTGAGCAATACTCGAGGCCAGAACTTGTGAGTGCGGAGGTGATCGAGAGAAAAGTACGTCTTAGCCCTAAACGAATAGCCTAGCTTTTTCCCAGCAGCTGCCGCTATTGACGTCACAGACCAGGTTCTCGGTTATCTGGACTGTGACTAACAGAAATGAACGGCTCTTTGGCAGAACTTGACCATCCATCGAAACCGGATGAGTGCCAGGACGCTTTTTGTTCGTCAAGGTACAGTACTGTGTTTTCGAAGCATTAAACTGTACAAGATTGTTGTCTCTCCATGCAGTGATGACCTCCAGGTCCCTCGTCAGAGAAGAAGTTGTTGCTAGTCTTTTTTTTCAGCTCACCGGCAAAGATCGCCTTAAATTTCTGCATCTAGCAAAGATGTGGATTGTGTTGATCGTTTAGGAAAGGAGGTCGTTGATATGTAAGAGGAACAGTGTCGGAGACAAAACCGATCCCTGAAACACACCCTCGTTGATGTTGTGGGATGAATAGCCCGTCAATTACGAAGGATAACTTGCGGCCAGAGAGAAAGTCAGTCATCAATCGGCAAAGCTTCTCTGGGAGGCCATAGTATGGATGTTTGCATAAAAAGGCAGCATACCACAGCTGATCGATCGCTTTCGTGATATCAAGACCAACGATATTAGGCTCACCATACGACTGGATGAGCTTACTCCACAATTGCTTGACCATACTACCTGTCGCTTATGAAGCCTTGAGGTTCAAGGCACTTCACAAGCTTCCGATTTATGCACCTCTCCATGACCTTACTTATAGCAGAAGGCCAAGCTGAAGGTTTGTAGTTTTAAGTGTCGATCTTAGGTCTTTTTCTGGGATTCACTAATTTAAAGTTTTCTGGGATCATCTTGATCTTCTGTAAGACGTTTAGGCACTTACACTGTATAATCAAAATGATTCGGAAAAGTACACAAGAAAAGTTTGGGCATATACTTTTTTATAAGACCTTTCAGCGCTGCAGGTATTCTCATCAATACTTCCTCTCTACTATGACAAAACAATGTTATCAAAGAATGTGTCATGTAATCAAGTTGCCTATCACTTTCCCCAATAAGTTTTATCAAATTTCCCAGGACAGATACTAGGGAATAATTGAACATTTCATCACAAAAATAACATTTTTGAAAATGTACTGCATCGTTTCATGATTTTAATACCTTGACCCTAGTAGAACATTATGTTTGGTGTTTGATAGGGCAGATACTGACAAAATCAATAAGTTTTATCTCTCCTTTTGTGCTTTTTGATACGATTTTTTGTTGATGAGAATTGAGTACTAAAGTTACTCATTGCTCCCATTGCAACTTTTTTTAACAAGGTTCTTAGGGCACGTACTATCAAGAAATTGCGTTTCTCAATAAAAACATCTGTTGAAGATGGACTGTATCGTGCCATGATAATAAAATCCCGAAAACTTTTGACATCGTTGCCCTTGAGTGAGAAGTAAACGAATAAATGACTGTGGCCAGCTACAAGATACCCGTTGCGTCTGTCCATTGATTCCTCTGAGCATAAGCCAATAATCTGTCACGTCACCCCTAGTGCCACTGACCATTGCGCTGATCCGGATTAGTCCGGTCGCGGACATAACTCACCGGAAACCTTTTTTCGGCTCATTACGTTTCTGAAATGTCGCCGTGGACTAACCTAATTATAAATAAAACAAAGCATTAGCCTAATTGGTCGAGCCGGAACTTTATGGATGGATCGACCGGAATGATCGCCGCCGCACTGGTTGCGGAAAAATCGCGTTGACGAAGAAATATGCAGTCGGGCAACGCTTCCGAGTTATAGCCCGGGCAAAATGTTGTAAAGGGTACTCTAAAAGTTTTGCAATATGACTTAACAAACGGACGCAGGAGGCTGCATGTTGAGGCATGTCCATGAGTGCATAATAGCTGCCAGCAGCACGCCTGTTGATTTAGTTGTTCATTCGTATTGACAGTGTAAAGTGCGGACTATGGCGTCATGGTCACGTAACGAGATAAGTACAGTTTTACGGTATAACTTTAGGCGTGGTTTAAGCATAGACCAGTGTTCAGAAGAAATGACGCTTGCATTAAAGAATGATTGTCCTCATTGTACGACTATATTTAGGTGGTATAGCGAATTCCAAAGGGGCAACTTCACTCTGGAGGACGCTGAGAGGGAAGGAAGGCCGCGAATGTCAGTAACAGAGGAAAACATTACTGCTGTGAGGAGAATGCTTGACGAAGATGGGAGAGTGACATACCAGCGATTTATTCAATTCTGCATGACCATTTACACGTAAGGAAACTTTGTTTCTCTTTGGCTAGACGGAAGAGCAAAAGACTCGTCGTACGACTTGGTGTCGAAAGATGCCGAAAATGTTTGATAATGAGCAATCTCGGCATGTGAACAGCATCGTGACAGGTGACGAGACTTTGCGCTATTATTACGATGTGTCAATCAAGGCTCAAAACAAAGTTTAGGTCTTTGACGCTGAGGACCCACCGCTGTCAGAAAATATCGATGTAATAAGAAAAGAATGATAGCTGTATTTTTCACATCGAGAGGAATTGTGCATCATGTCGTTTTGCACACACAGAAGGCAGTCACAGCCATGTGGTCCACGGAACAGTACCCGCCTAAGGTCATAAAGTCTATGAAAAACCTGCCGCCAAAGTCAAGAATGGACACTTGGTACCTCCACCATGACAACGCTTCCCTACAGTCCAGATCTTGCTCCCTGCGACTTTGCACTGTTTCGGCATCTGAAAATTAAGCTAAAAGGAAAATGGTTTTCTAGCGATGAGGACGTTCTGAGGGCATGGGACAACAAGTGTGCCGCACTCCCTGGTGAAGCTTGGCATAGCTGGTTTAAGGACTGGTTTTTGGCGGATGGAGAAGTGTGAATGTGGTGGAAATTGCTTTGAACGAAGTCAATAAATAAAGCTGTATTGCAAAACTTCTAGTGTACCCTTTTACTATAGAAGCATACAGACTTGAGGTATGCATCTTTTTCAATATGGGGATTTTAGGGATTTCGTGAAATACAAAGAATGTGTGGCTATACATTTTCACTGAACATTTCTATATTGTAACGCACTAAGACACAGAACTTGAAAATGATGGTGTTACTCCACTACGATCACAATATAATTAAAAGTTGCAACAAATCAAAACATGACGATGGAAGCATCGAAGAATACAAAAAAATTAAGAAATGAAATATCACCAATTTATTGAAGTCACTAATCAAGACTCGATCCAAAACATGAGAGATGCATAAGAAATGGAGAAAAGTAACCGTACCAATTAATCGTTGCGACAATCATGTCATTGGGGATGGAGTACATTGACCCACTTAACATAAACATGAATAAAATAAAACAAAATGAATAAAAAGACGCAATATACAAAACTATCCGTGTAATTCTTTGCAAATCAGTGGCGCGTCTGATCAGCAGCATGCTCAATGATATGATCTCTCAGGTAATCATGGGCACATACATCAACTCCCTGAAGAAACTCCGGAACGCGGATCAATGCTCGCTGCACTGCTGTTCAGCCTGTATATTGCAGACCTACTGGAGACACAGTCAAAAAAGTTCGGATACGCCGGCGACTGGGCTCTCGCGACAAGATGCAGTTCAGTCGAAGAATCTGAGAATGTTCTAACAGCAGATCTAAAGATAACGAGGAATATTTCCATAAATGAAGACGCCAACCGAATGTCTCCAAGACAGTTTGTTGCTTCCTTCTGACCAACCAACTCGCTCGAAGAGAATTCAACATACGCTTTGACAGCACTATCCTTAGGCACCTTAAATCACCGAAATACTTGGACGTGATACTGTATGGAACCCTATCTTTAAATAACACCTAACAAGGTCTGATGAAAAGCTGAAGAGGATAATAATATTATTCAACAGCTCTGTGGTACCACCTGGGGAGCAACAGTCTCCACTCTCCGCACTGCTGCTCTGACGCTTGTTTTCTCGGCTGCCGAATGCTGTGCTCCAGTCTGGTTAAACAGCCCACACGTTAAAAAGGTAGACACTTAACTACACCACATGATGGCTGGAGTAATCAAAACCACTCCCTTAGCACGGCTTCCAATATTAAGCCATACCCCACCGACACATCTGTGTCGGGCTGATGCCCTTTCAGATGTATACACAAGATTATGGGTAACAGAAGAAATAGATTAAAGCAGTAAATACTAATTGACTTCGATCTCGAAAACCGCCAACGAGAAGAGTGGAACCAATGGAGAAGAGGCATTCAGCATTATCAACGCGGAAAACGCGAGAAAAGAGCAGAAGCTCGAGAGTGTCGTCCACTCGTTTGCGACGGTACTTGGAAGTTGCGTAAAAGCGAGATTAGCAAAAAAGAAGCAGCAAGTGGACTGAAAAGCCAAAACCGAGAGTGCGGCGATCCTAAAAAGGCACAGTGAAGAAGTGAGAAACCGCGGAAGGACGCGATAAGGTAAGAATGAAGCGAGGTAGTGTCGAAAACGAGTACTCGTTCAGCAGCGAAGATGAAGAAAATGATTTGGCCAAAGAGAACAGAGTGCTCAGGCAGCAAATTTTTACCCTGGATGAGGAACCTGCACCTCATCACCTCCAACCAAAGAGGAAAAGCGGAAGAAGAGAGAACCTCCAAAGCAGAAGGCACCCCGTAATGATGAAGCTACCACCTCTACAACAAGGACACCGGCAGAAGAGGACGCGATGGACCAATCCCCCAATCCCTCCAGCAAGGGGCACAAGCGAAACCAAAGGGGAGACCACCACCACTTTACATCCATAAAGAAGAACAGTGGAGAGAGGTGTTGGATAAAAATATGCTGAAGTTGGAGAAACCTGCACGGCTAAGAATGGACTGCACGGCAAAACGACAGCATGCCTTGCATAACCCACAAACCACCTGGTTGTAACTTACCACGCAAAACATGGTCCACTCTAAACAGGATTCGAACTCGTCATGGCAGAAGCGCATACTACCTGTATAAATGGGGTAAGCAACCATCTCCTCAACGTCAGAATCAGACCACTGACCACATTATTCAGGTGTGCCCCACAGGAGCCTATAATGGTAACCCCGATGATTTCCACTTCGCTACACCAGAGCCGATAGATTATATTAATAGTCTCAATATTTGCTTGCAAGGTTTGTTATATTAGTGTTCATATGATAAATGAAATAAATGTAACATTTTTAATTCGTTTAGAGAATTGCAAAATTTTCTTGCCTTAGGGGGTACATCTAAAAAAGTCACTACACTTCACATAACATAGTATACTGTCGCCTGTAATTTATTGCACGGCTACAAAGAGATATGGCGTCAATATTAAAGAATTTTCTCATACAATCCGTCGAAAGCAAAAATATGTCGCCTTGCGAGTGTGCCGTTGAACGCTGGAAAACCGCCTGAATAGACCATAAATCGAGAACCCTACCCGCTTATTCCTTTGTGAGCTCCATTTTAATCCACGAAAACTATTCGCTTATGCTTGTATAAAATACCTTATTCGGATACTCAGGACCGCATTTTAAGGGGCGTCTTCCATGTAACATTTTTTTCTCGAAGGCTTCATTAAACAGATACGAGATGCTGAAGTTCAAAAATAAAAAACAATTTTCGTAATATGTTCAAAACCGTCAACTGAGAAAATTTGGCATGTTGGTTAACCTAAGTACTGTCCACATTCAAAAGAATTCACTTAAAATTAACGTGCACCAGTGGGGGAGATTCAGAGGATTAGTTGCACTATTTTCCAAATAAAAATAGTGCGCTACTAGATTTTTTCCGAAAAGCGCAATTTTTCGAATTTTGCCTTCGATTTGCTACAAATAATTACTCCTGTATTTTGGGATAGGTTGGCGTCTGTTAGGAAATCTACGTTGATACTCCCGAGAAGCTGCTATAGAGTTTCCATTACAGAACCCGTACACAAAAATAATACCGACATACTATACTCCATTTCACATGACTCAAAGGTGGTCAAAAGAAACTATCGACTTGACTGAAAAAATGGTAGTAGTAACGATGACAACCATATAACACATCACTTTGACAAACTATCCCTCAAGAAACGTCAAGTTGGTATCAAAGCTTCTTATTTTATTTTGAAACTAATTGTATCTCGGCTCTTGACGAATGATCTAACTTCTTCTATTTTTATTTTTACGAAAAGATTGCACTCTAGGAAAAAACACAGGAGTAATTATTTGTAGCAAATTGAAGGTAAAACTTGAAAAATAACGCGTTTCGAAAAAAAACAGTAGAGTACTATTTTTGTTTGGAAAAATAACGCCACTAATCCCCTGTATCTCGCCCTGTATAGTTCATACTAAACAAAACCTAATCTCATAACACTCAGAAGTGACAGCAAACAGCTTTCGACTAAGCATATTAAACAACGAAACCGCCTAATAAGTGGAATGATTTTCGCCTTCCTGCATAGTAACACTGTAAACAACAGAACAGACACTGGACATCTCAGTTCGATTTATGATAAGAAGATACATCAGACTAAGAACCTAAGAAGTTTTCATATTTCTTTGATATTCGTGGCTGCTCCTCGTATACTTATGTCCACCAATGAATCGTCTGCAAATCCAGTTTGGGTCCAGTTATTTTAATGCTGGACACGCTGGCATCTCACATATTCATTACCACCGCCTACGAAACTTCTAAACTTCAACGACTTCAAAAAACAAGTTGAAAACAACAAACCTAAAGACAATTTCACTACCTCATTCCTCTAAACGAACATCAACTATATGTCATTTTGAAACAATTTGAATAAAACGATTCAGTGCTGTGCTAAAATTTACACATTTTTTTGTATTTAGCTATGTTATTTTTGATCGTAATTTATTTTTGAAGGTTAAACCAAAACTGACAAGATTCCCTCACAAATTATTATAATATCAAAAACGTTATGGTAGTCATTATTGAAATGGGTAATAGGAGGGTCAAAACAAGTCAAAAAGTTCATATGAGCCGTGGTCCAAAAGCCAATAGATTTTTGTCTAAATGGCTTTATAGTTTACAAACTTTAAGTGCCTTATATCGACCACAATCTTACTAATTTTTATAATCTAATGTAAAACGTATTTAAATTGGGTAATTAACAAATAGATGGCATTAAGTTTTTCTAAGTTAAGCCAGAATTTGTAGTCAGTGAGTAAGTAAATTTCATTAAATTAAGTATTTAAAACACATGACAACAGCGCGTCGGTTTTTCATCACTCTTAT